CAATTAACAGATAACTGCTCTGCCACAAATAATACTCTGTGCTTTCTAGACGATTTTGCCTTTCCTTTTCCTCCCAAATTTCCTTTATTTTTTTTTAACTTATTCTTGACTAAATACGAAATACTTTCAGGTATACTTTTTGCCTACAGAAATGGAATAGAATTTTTTCTTAGAACTGAGTTGAACTCAGTTAGAACTCAGTTCTTCTAAGAACTAGAATCTGGAACTCAGATATACAACTGGATATAATACTCCTAATTTACATGCTAATTTTTAACATATACCTGATCATCTCCTCTCTAATGAGGCAGTATAGTCTTTGGCTCTCAAGAACATGTTTTATGACTGGCTCACCTTGAAAACAATAATTCACAGCATCTACTCTTAAACAGTTTTACTAGTAACTACTACCTATAAAACTACTACCAACCAGGATGCAGTATCCCTTAGGAATTTGGAGAAATGAAGGTAAGAGAAATTGTTTTCTGGTTGTCTCAAGTATCCATCTTTCAATTTTCTGTCTCACTTTCTGTGACAGGAGGCAGATAGTGAAGGAAGCATGAAACAGAAAGCATTATATATAGGGAATTTTTACTTCTAATTGATACTTTTGGGTGAGTTATTTCATCTCTTTCAGTTTGGAGTTCTTTGTGTGGATGATATAAGCTGTTACTCAAATATAAACTCCAGTATTATTAGTCATGCGCTATTTGACAGAATGTTTCGATGGATCAGGAACACTAAAACAATTGAGTCATAAAGGACAGTCCAAAGTTAGAGGCTAATGAAGGGTATAAGTTGTTATTATAGGAGAAGTAATTTATATAATGAAAGCCATAGAGAGATTTAATGAGAACCTACTCTATGTCAGGTGCTGTTTGGCATTTTGCTATACATAAGTGTGAGTAAAGCAGTCTCTGCTCCCTAGTGTTAATAGTGGGGAAGGACACATACTTCAAGGGAATAGAATTAAATGGAGGGGTTCTACAATGTCTTTTGAGAGAATTTGTGATATGTTCCCAAACTATCTCTTCACTCTGAAATCTCACTTATCAAATGTCATAACAGCAAAATGAACGCCTTGTAGCTCCCTAAACATTTCAGTCTCATTAGGACCTCATCCTGCAACACTCAATATTCCCTCCCCTGAACCATGCACCTCCCTCAGAAATGTTGATAAAAATAGTGATCATAATGTTTCGAAACTTCCTGTTTACTTATCTGGATTCTCCACAACATTATCAGTTCTACGAAAGCAGAGCATGATAGTCACTATTACATCTCTATTGTTCGTGATTATATCTCCAGTATCCACTTGGTACAGAGGCTGACACACAGTAGGTTCTCAACAAGCATTTATGTTGACTCTGGAGATAATAAGACACAAATATTAGCACAAGGTATTCGTTGACTTCCCCCTTTTCCCTCCTGACAAGGAGGACGTTGTCTTTGTCTGCCAAAATTCCAACTTCTAGAGGAAAGAAAGACTAAGTTATCTCTATAATTAAAAGAGAAAAGGGAAGGGAAGGGAGAAAATGAGAAAAAGAGACATATGGTAGAGGACGGCAGAGAAAGAATGGGAAATGATACATTTCAGGGTTTAGAGAGATGCAACAACAGTTTAAGAGAGTATGTAACTAGGAGATGAAAGAAAATATATACACTGGTTATTGTGAAATGTGTATTTAGATTTCTTTCATATCCTTTGAGAAAAATAAATGACATTACAATTTTTAAGAAATGTTCTTTAGAAAATGAGCTTTTAGCATATTACGGTACTTTAAGATTGATCCTGATAGATTTTTTAAGAATGTAAGAGATAACCATGAAATGCTTGATTAGATGATGGAGTGATTATTTCTAGCTGTGGGATTCAGCAGAAAGTTTGTGAAAAGTGTTGAGCAAGATGGGCAGCATTTGCATATATAGAGATGTACAGCAGAATGCTATTCGAGGTACAGAGGCTACCTGGACTAGCACTGATTTTGAAAACCTAGTAATCAGTCATTTCCTTTACAGATGTAAATGTCTTTACACATCCGTTATCTTGCCTTGACCACTTGATTAGGTTTAATCAAGGCCTTTTTTTTCCCCTTTTCCTTTTAGTTTCCAATTATATTTGTTATAATTAGACAGTCTAAATTGCTTGAGGTGATCTTGATTTCAAACACACTGCAGATTTAAGTCAGACTTCCAGACTAGAGTTAGTTAGCACAAAGTTGTTAAGTTTCTTTGCAGAGTAGTGTGTTAATCAACACAAAGCTGTTGAGTTCACTTACAGATTACGGGAGCAATTTCATTACTCAATAGAAAGATGTTTTATGGTGGTTTAACTGAATGAATACACGCACTGAAACAAGCATTTTACACAACCTTTGTGGTTATCATAAACTTCAGAGTTGACAGTTCAATTACTGGGAGATAAATAAAGCATCATAGAACAATTGACTATCACACTGATTGTAAACATAAAAGAAATAATTGTACCTATGACAAATACAAAGAGCACATGCAACTTTAAAATTTCAAAATTGCATTACCCTAACTGGATGGCCTCTGCATTTATTTTTGTCCATTATATTCCTATAATCACAGAAATATGTATGGTCTCCAAACTTTTGCTTTTTACCCAGTTGAGACATTTAATAAATAGCCCAGGATTTGAAGTCACAAGATAGATTTATTTTTCAACATTGCTAACTAAAGTAATTGGTTGACTAAGTAATTAGAAAGACAGGAAGGAAGAAAGAACAAAAGAGAGAGAGACAGAGACAGAAAGACGAAGAAAGAAAGATAGAAAGAAAGAAAGAAAAGAAAGAAATTCCACTACTTGGTTCGCAGTAATCCTCCAGAAAAAACATCATTTATACTTATAGTTATCTTACTTTTACCTAAGACTAAATAGAAAAATTTAGCATTTAGCTTTTGCAGGATGTGCTCTATGTTTTACACAATGTGAACAGGATTATATTCTTTTGACTTTCTCCAGACAAAGCAGAGACATAATCAGGTTTCTTGTTTTTTAAATTGGGGTAACATTCGTTTATAGCATTATATAAATTTGCGGTGTACATCATTATATTTTGATTTTTCTGTAGACTGCATCATGTTCAATACGCAAAGACTAATTACCATCCATCACTATATACATGTGCCCTGTCACCTCTTTTACCCTCCTCCCTCCACGCTTCCCCTCTGGTAATCATGAATCTAATCTCTGTCTCAATGTGTTTGTTGTTATTTTTGACATTTGTATCTTCTACTTATAAGTGAGATCATACGGTATTTGACTTTCTCCCTCTGACTTATTTCACTCAGCATAATACCCTCAAGGTCCATCCATGCTGTCACAAATGGCTGGATTTCATCATTTCTTATGGCTGAGTAGTAGTCCATTGTGTATAAATACCACATGTTCTTTATCCATTCGTCCCTTGATGGCCACCTAGGTTGCTTCCAAGTCTTGGCTATTGTCTATAATGCTGCAATGAACATAGGGGTGCATGTATCTTTATGTCTTTGTGTTTTCAAGTTCTTTGGATAAATACCCAGCAGTGGGATAGCTGGGTCATATGGTAGATCTATTCTTAATTTTCTGAGGGTACTCCATACTGCTTTCCACAGTGGCTGCACCTGTTTGCACTCCCACCAGCAATGTACGAGGGTTCACTTCTCTCCACATCCTTGCCAACATTTGTTGTTTCCTGACTTGTTAATGATAGCCAGTCTGACCAGAGTGAGGTGATACTTCATTGTAGTTTTGTGAATTCTTTTTTCATTTCTCTATTCAGCTTGGGTGATTTCCTCTACAGTTTCCTCCAGCTCACTGATCTGTTCTTCTGTGTCATCTATTCTGCTGTTGATTCCCTCTAGTGAATTTTTCATTTCCATTGTTGTATTCTTCAGTTGTCTTTGTTCAAATACTTTCCAATTCTTTGTTGAAGTTCTCACTGTCTTCATCTAATCTTCCCAAATCAGTGAGTATCCTTATGACTATTATTTATACTCTTTATTGGATAGATTGTTTATCTCTGTTTCATTTAGTTCTTTTTCTGAGGATTTGGCCTGTTTCCTTATTTGAATCATATTTCTTTGTCTCCTCATGCTTATATCTATGTATTAGGTAGATCAGCTATGTCTCCTGATCTTGGAGGGGTGGCCTCATGTAAAAGATGCCCTATGAGGCCCAGTAGTGCTCTTCCCTCTTGTCACTAGTTCCAAACGTTGCAGGAGTGTGCCCTGTGTGGGCTACATGTGTCCTCCTGTTGTAGTGGGATTGCTATTGCTGTTGGTGCATGGGTAGGCTACTCTGGTCCTCTGGCCAGCTAGTTGTAAGGCTCAGCTGTGTGAAGCTGCTTCAGACTCTTTAGTTGCTTCATGGGCAGGGGGAACCCCGGTACAGCTTGCTGCAAGGTCTAATAGCACAAATGTGCTACTGTTTGGCTGTTAAGTGAGTCAGGCCCATAGTTTGGCTGTTTTCTAGGCTCAGGGGCTCACAACTGCTGTATACCTCAGGCCTGCAAGGCTATTGTCAGCTCTCTTGGGAGTGCAGCTGGGTGGTGCTGGCCCCAGGCTTGGCAGCACACAATTGCTTCAGGTGTTGGAAGGTGGGGAAGATCTATTATGTGGCTGTTTGAGAAGGCCAGCAGCACAAGTCGGGTGCAGCCAATGACCCCAACTGCCAGTGGGCCCACACACCCTGTGAAGTCAATGCAGTCCTGCCCCATGCACATGTCCTGCCCCACCAAGAAGGATCCACTCTCCCTGCTGCAGAGGTTACGCACACCCCACCTAAGCAGGGTCACAATTTCCCTGTGGGCTTTCTGGTGGGCAGGACAAGTCCCTAGGGTAGGCTGCCTTCCCTGACTAAGATGGATTGAATCTATGCTCTAGTGAGTGAGGCAAACCCCTGCACTAACAGGGGAGGAAAGCTAATCACATCTGCCAGCATCTGTGTCACCACACTTGTACTAGGTCATAATAATGGCTGCTGTCAGTGTCTCAGACCCTGAGGAGGTGGTCCCAGCAGCCTCCTGCCTCTCTAAGATACACTCAGAGCTTGTCAAGTGAGTATCTTTTACCAAAGGACTATGCACCTTTCTTTCTGGTGATTTTGTGTTGCTTTCTGGAACGGGTGAATTTGTGTGTGGGCCCTTCAAGAGCAGACTTTTCTTTCTCTTACAATAGCTTTTCTGGGGGTATTTCCTATGGGTTTTAATAGCCAGCAAAGCCAGATATTATGAGAATTTTCTCGGTTGTGCTGAATTCAAAAGCTGCGTATTGTGGCAGAGCTCTCCTGCTCAGATCCCCCCTCCACCAGGAAAAACTTTGTACCTTAACATTGCTCCTGGCCATGAAGCACTGTGGCTATAATGTGGATTTTTCTTCAGCAGAAAGGTATTCCTGCCTCTTTCACCTCAGTCAGCACAGTTCCTTGTTGTGGGGGTTCTTTTTATCCAGTTTCCAGTACTCCCTCAGAGGTAATTGTTCCACAGGTAGTTGTAAATTTACTGTGTCCATGGGAGGAGGTGAGCTCAGAGCCCTCCTGCACAGCCATCATCCCAGCAATCCCCCAATGAGGTCTTTATTAAATTTCATTACACTCTAAAACTATGCCCTTTGAGCACCATCACAATTGAAAGCCAATTATTTTTAGATGGAAAAAGAGAACCTCTTGAGTATTATATGTTATTTGATCACTGAATTCACTGAGAACGAGATATGCAATATATGCTTCTTTTATATGATGCAATCATTTATAACAAACATAAAAATAAGTTTTTCTCAACTTTGTTTTGTGTGAACCTGTACCACGTACCCCAGGCTCATAACAAACAAACTGAAAATTGGCTGAAAATATAGCACTGACCTTTGCTGAAGTAACCAATGACTAGATCTTAAATATGCTTTAGGGACACTAAAATGTGTGGTATTTTCCTTGTAAAATGTGCTCATTATAAGCGTAAAATCATTTTTCTTGTGTACAGGGGATCTCTATCTGCTATTCAAATTCGGTCTTTTAGGTGAAATTTTTTAAAAAATAAAACTCACTCTAACAAATGGATTTATGAATAATCAATTGCAACACTGTGAAATAACTTTAGGATGTCAGTCTTTGTAATGAATTTATTTAAACTATGTAGAGATCAGAAATAAGTAGAAACTTTCTGTTGTGGAAAGTGATAAGATAAATTGTTTTGCTATGTTATGTTTTCTCAAGAATATCTGGGAAAACTGGAGTGGCATGATTTATTGGTACACAACAAATGTTTTCTTTAGTGAACAGGTTGCAAAGGAGTTCATGTGAGTTTTTTTGTAACTTTGAAGAAATTTAAATCAAGAGAATTGACCATAATGACCAGAACTGAAACATATTATTGCAGTATGCTTACTAATACACAATTAGATATTGACTGATGGCTATAGAATTTTTTGGTTTTGGTTTAAGAAGAGAGTGTATGCTTTGTCTCTGCTTAATTCCAGTTCTATAGAAGACAATTAGTCATCTGGCAAAGACCACACCTTAGGTTATGTGGAGGCTATGAGGATGTGCTCTTAGATCTCTCCCTGCAGAAAACATAACTGACCCATGGTTCCAGCTGCTGTGCTTTGAAATTTATCTCCACATTCATGTCAAGACCATGCTTTCTATTTTCCTCTCCCAGTGAATGGTTGAGAACGTCAGGATAATACAAGCAACTCTGTTTCTGGGAGATGTAAAACTGCCTGTGATGGGGCAACTTTGACTCCAGAACTTCCTGAAAACCTTGGGGAACTTGCTTTACAATGACACTGCGGTCTCAGATGTTTCCACCCCACTTGCCTTTTTTCCTTTTCTCCTTCACTGCAGGGCACTGCATTGTAATGGTTCCCTCAGCCTCTCAGGGCTCCTTCTCTTCTTCTCTCCTAGGTATTTTCTCTCGAAATTTTTTTCTCATGTTTAATTTTGTCTTAGCTTCTGCTTCCAAGACAACCTGACTAATTTGGGGCAAATATAATAAATTATATCTTCCACGTTATCCTTACATAATAGAAGTTTCCCTAGGCCACACCAGCTTGGTACCACCATAGCTAACAGAAATAAGCAAAGCCATTACTCATGGAATTATTCTAGCCACCCATTCTTTCCTAATTCCTTCTGCCTTGGGTCAAGGAAAGGCCAAGTGGCAGTGCATTTGCTCAAAAACAGATTGTACTTTCCTCATGTAATTCCCAATGACAGCCATTATCATGACTTGATTCTGATACTGTTGCAGCCTGGAATGATCAAGAGTCCTTTACTTCTGATTCTGAATCCAGCCACACTAAAGAAAGTCAGAGAGCAGTGATATTGCTTACTGCAAAATTGGGGGAGGCTGAAAGAACAAAGGCACAGAAGGTTTCACAGCAGCGGGTCTGAAGACCTTATGGAGAAAGAACTGTATAGCAATCTCATTGCAAACAATTTATTAACTGGGCCATCAAGTAATAACCTGCCTTTGTTATCATCTTATGACTCTTTACCTTAGTGATATGTGTGATTTATTTCTTGGTATTCAATACATATATTGATTCTAGATAGGAAAGCTGAGCCACACTCTTGAGATGTTTAGTAATGTCAGGATCTCTAAGTGCTTACCATCTGATACCGAAAGATTCTCAAGATGTCAACATCTCAGAAAAAGACAACAGAGGGCACTACAAATTAGCAGGAAGTTACTGATGTCTTTAGTATGTTTTTGCTATTTCTTGTCAAGTGATGAAAAATATCATAAGACAAGGTGGGCATGGAAATGTCTTCCTTAGAAAAAATACACCCTTGATATTGCCTTGAAATGTTCCAGTGCCAGCCATTTGCAAAACTGTGTTTCCACAAGGATTAAACAGTTCTCATATTTTTGTCAATCAGACTAATAGCTGCATTTATTCACTTATCCACTTATTTATTATCAATTCACTCTTACATCATTCAAAAATATTTATCAATTAGTATGTACTCAATAAGCCACTGTGATAGGCCCAGGGCTATAACCGAAAACAAAACTATTCCAGTCATTCTAGAGATCAAGACTCCTGAAGAGGAGGCCTAACATGAGAAAAAAATTAACAAAATCTGAAATGGCAATGATGAATGAAATTACCAAATTTCCTAGCCCTTTTAGCAATCTACAAAATACAGAATCAAGAAATAATTAAATGCTATTTTCATTATATTTATTTAGGAAAGATAGTTCTTTAATTACAACATTCAGTTATGGCAAAGGTGTAGGCTTTTTGATACAGTGATGGCGAGTTTCTTCTTGGGATAACTAGAAAGCAATGCATCAAAAGTTAAAATGGTCAAAACTTAAACATCACTTGGACCTCATAGTCCCATGTTGGGGAATCAATATTAAGGAAATAATATTAAATATAGAATAAAACTTCATGCTCTACAGTGCAATGTTTATTATTTTAAAGGGCAGATTGGAAATATTCTCAATGAGTATTAGCGCAATGATTGTTATGGAAGATTGGTAAATGAACAATTCTTCTGTCATTGAAAATGAAATTTATGGAGAATTTGGAAAGTTTAGAAAGTAAAAAATTGTTTAAATTGAAGTAAAATATTTAGATTAAGTAGAAAAAGTAAAATCCAGATGCAAAATTTGTAATAGGATGAGTTTTAAATGTTTAAAAACACATGCTTAGAACAAGAAAAAAGGATGCAGAAAGCTGTGTTAATAATAATTGTATCTGGGTGAAAAGTTATGCATGATTTACTTCTCTTTAACGTATTTTGTACTTTCCAATGTTATATACAGACATTATTTTTATATCTAAGTGAAATGATAAAAAAATATAGAAAGATTGCTGTCCAGAAGACCATGGAAGGAAAATTATATTATTTCACTTTTGTTAAGAGCGACAGAATAAAGTGAGTTGGAAATTATGCCAACATAGATTAAAAAAATAGTACAGAGATGATTAAATTTGCTTTTCCATGTACTCATGGCTCAAAAAATAATTACCTATTTTTCTTATTTGGGTAAGTCACAAAGGAGCATTTTATCAAATAAGTTTCCCAATTTAAGCAACATCTGATAAATTTCTAAAACAAATCTTTCAAACACTGAATTGGCTTACACACATGTAACATTTTAGGTTCATGGATCACTAGTGATATACATGAAATACTTTATACGTCTTTTCCAATCTGTAATGCCATCCATCATGTTTATGGATCTAGGACCTCCAGAAATTTAGGTGGACAGCACTTTGATTTGGCTGTTTTTTTTCCCCAGTTAACTTCGTTAGTGTTGATCATGCCCTACTCTACTAAGATTCCTTTGCCTCTTTTAACCTTGGCTTTATTGACCTGTATTAGACATCAGCCAAGTGACATCTTGACTAAATATATTTTTAGATAATATCTTATGTTATTGAGAAAAAAAATATATAAGGCATTACAGGGACAAGTTAAATGAATCTACCACAAGAAGAAAAATAAGGTAATATGTGTAATGAGTTAAAGAATTGAATGCTTAGTTCAATATAAGGTAAAATTTAGGGGAAATTGTTTTACTATGTGATTGTATTGGGCAAAAAGGTAAACAGAAGGGAAGAAGTTAGTAGAGAGAGGGAGAAAAGCTGAATATATCTATCACAGTTGGTGAAATTGATGGAACAAGGTCTTGGAAGGGATGAGAGGCTATGGGGATGAATTCACACATGGAGAGATTCTCCCCCGACCAGAGAAGAGAAAGAAATGAAATGGAAGAGAATGAATTAACAATACACTTAGATGCAACCATATTTCTAACTGTGGTTGGGAAGCTGATTGACTTCATAATTAGTTGTCTTTATCATCCCTATGAAGAAGGAGGCCATTTAAGTAAAAAGAAAACTACATAGATTGAAAGCTTGAAGATGCTGATTACATTCAAATGAGAAAGAAAATTCGTAAGGAATGGAACTGGTTAGGGAGAAGATAAGTGGTTTTTGAGCATGCATCATTGATGTTTAAGAGGAATCAAGGTATGGTTTCTCTTTGATGCATGTTGGCATCTGTTGCATTCATGAAAGACAATGGATTATTTCATTTAGTTAAGCTAGTGTTTGAGTACCCAATATGTGACAGATACTTTGCTAAACACTGAGAAGGACAAAAAAAGACAAGCAAGTTTTGATCTCATATCTCAAGGACCTTCCTAAACAGTACAAAAGTTAGGCATATAGATCATTAAAATGCAAAGTACAAGTGTTATGCACACATGGCACCTATTAAGAGCATGGGCTTCACTGTCAGAGTATATGGAATTGAATAATAACTCTACTATTTTATTGCAGAAGATATTTACACAGTCCCATTAACTCATGCACTCTTTATTTTCCTCATCTCTCAAATCTGACTAATAGACCACATAACCAGAGCATATATGAGACTCACTTTGTAAATTCTAAACCTCTGTGAAAATGTAATTTTCTTTATTACTGTGTCTTATACGAATATTTTTAAGTTGTAAAAGCCTTTAAAACTAAAAATAACAGGGAGAGAGAGAAGAAAAGAGGGAAATGTGGAAGAGAGAAGATCGAGAGAGAGACTGAGACAGAAAGAGAGAGAGAGAGAGGCACAGGTGTTTGGTTAGAATGATTAGAGATGGCTTCACAGAGAAGGAGAAATTTGCCCTAGGCTTTGAAGAATGTAGCCAGTGGTAAGCAGGATTAAGGTAACAAAGTTATAACAAGTAGAGGAAACCGCCTCAGCAAGATTTTAGAGAAGAAATAGCACAAATCATATTGAGTAAGAGAAAGCAGGGGAGTAAAAATGCCTTCAATGTAGTTGTGGCCATATTTTAAGAGCTTTGAATTCTACATGAAAGAGTCTTTGCTTAACTTATGGGTAGAATAGAATGTAAAAATTATATGTTCTACAAGGGCTTGGGTTTTTCTGCCCCTACTTGTGTCTACAACCTCATTTCATTTCACTTTCCGTTTGCTTACAGCAACACTGTTTTTCTTTTGGTTTCCTAAACACAACAAACTCTTTCGTGCTTCCAGATCTTTGCAAATATTCTTTTCCAGCCACCTTTCATTTGGTAAATTCATGGCTTACTCTTATCCTTCAGGTCTCAGTTTAAAGGTCTCAAAGCAGTCTTCCTTGACTATCCTACCTGAAGAAGAACACCTTCTATTATTCTGCATCTTAACGTTGTTTTCCTTTATAACACTGGTATATTTTACAATTATTGTTTTGTCTGTTTACTTCATTTTCCATCTCCTACTCTCCCTTCTACATCTCACTCAGAATATAATTCATGAGGATAGGGATTGTATTTACTTTGCTCACTATTCATTGCCTAGCCCATTATTTGGTATGAAGATCCGCTTAATAAATATTTATTGAATAATTATGTTAATGAATATTTTCTTTAAGGAGATATTGAGTAATTTTGAGCATGGAAGATATTTTAGAGAAAGGAACTGTGCTTTAGAAAAAGTAAACTAATACTGGATTATCTCATAGATTGCAAAATATGAGGCTAGCATAAATCGGGTAGTAGTTATTGTAATAGTCATGCATTTATTAACGAAGGTCAGATCTACTGAGCATTGTAGAAATGAAGGGAAGAAGAGTGAAGCTGTTAGAGATTATGAAGGAAGAAGAAAGAGGAGTAGAAATAGGGTAGAAGAAAGTTGGATTCAAAGATGAAAAAGGCAGGGGAACATAATTTTTCTCTGTTGTTTCATCTAGTATGGGGTATTCCATCTCTGTTTAACCTTCGTCTAGCTGGGAGAAGGTGATACTGAGCCATTTCAAGAGTCTCTGATAGTTAGCTTGATTTAATCCAGTGTATTACAAAGAACTCCATAGAGCTGAAACACTGAAGTACATTGTTAAGGTATTACTTTGGAAAAATTTATTACAAAGTTTCCATTTTTATCATTTGAGGGTAAGGTCGTTCTGAATTTCTGCTGTGAGTTTCACCTCAGTACTTTATAGCTTAAGCATTTCGAATGACAAGCAAATCATTCTTTACTAGTTGTCAAAACAAAGAATTTTATGTTTTAGCTTTAAAAAAATACTAAGAGAGACTTTCTCAGTTAAACACATTTAAGTTGCTTTCTGAAAACCTTTGAGAAATTTCTAAACCATAATTGTAAGGTTTGATAAAATGATAAACATACAGAAGTTACATTAATTTCAACCAAGGACATTATTACAGTTAAGAATTATTTAAGCAAAACCTATTTCCTCAAGCATTCACATATGAATATCTACAAGAGGAAAATATAATATCAAGTAAAATTAACCAACATTAATATTACATAATAGCTTATGGAATACATAACTCTCCTCTACTTAGCAAACAATTAACTAAGTGGTGATACCTGACTGGTACTTCTAGTGGTTTTGGTGGTACTAGTGATTTCTTTACTTTTTGTTTCTTGTGACTCCACGGGAAGCAGAACTAATGTTTGTTAATGTGATTTTATACAACGCACATTTAAAAAATAGAATCACTTATTATCATTTAAACAAATTCAGGTCAATTAGAATGTTTGTATTATATTTTTCATCTTTCAAATATTTTCAAATGCATCACTTCATTCTTCTTCACAGAAAACCTGTGTAGTATATGATACCAATCAATCGTTTCAAAGATGAAGACATAGAGTTGTCCATAGTTATGCAGCTTATACAAGGCAGAGCAAGAGTTAGAATCTAGCTCTGTAAGCAACGTGATTCTGTGCAAGTTCTTTAATTTAGTGAGCCTAATTTTTCTTATTGGCACATGTAGATAATATTATCTATCCTCACTCTCTGTGAAAATACTGAAACTATAAAGTAATGAGCAGGTATACGTATCATTGTGTAGTGTCGAGCATTCTTGATACAACCCTTTTCCTTTTTTCTAGGAGAATGATAAATTTGCATAAAGAAGTCACTGTACTGGCCTTTGAATTACTGTAGTCCTCACTTAAATTCAGGTGAAAGAAATAAAGAGGGAGGAGAAGAAATCTATATGCTACTTTCACTAATGTTGATATTATTTGAATTTTACAGATTAGAAAATAAAATAATAGAAATTAAGTGATGTTTACGTTGAATAGGAGTTTGTAGACTCTCTATTTAAATACAGGTCTGTTGACCTCAGTCTATAACAATGGGTATAAATGTGAGCTCTGGAGCCTGAGGCTGTGTGACTGAATCCTGCCTCCACCACTTCCACTTCTCATTACAGGACCATGGACAAGTCACTTCACTCAATATCGTCTCAATTTGTTCATCTATAAAAGGGATATAACAGCACCACTGCATAAGCTGGTAATGAAGATTAAGTGCAGAGAGTTTAAAACAGAGCCTGGCACCCAGTAAGAAAACCATAAACATTACTGCTAGTGGCTTCTTCCCCTGTATCTCTCTATTTTTTTTTTTTAGCATCTCACATCTTCCTTTTATCATTTTGGGATTAAAAATATACATACGTTTTTACTTTCCTAGATATTTCTAAATGGTAGAAATTCAGGTAATACATGTTTTAAAGTATGCAAATGACTTTTAAAAGACTATTGGCTGGATTTTAGAAGTTGAAATATACCAGGAATGTTCCATTTGCAATAATGATAACTTATTTTACCATTTTTTCTTTCTGAAGTAATTTCTGGTGTCAGTGAAAATTTAAAATGAGGATATGTTGTTATGCATTTGTGCTATTTTTGTTGAAGTATCACTATCTTAAAACAAAGGAATGATGAGAACTTGACAATAGATATTGATAAGAAATGATTGTAAGAGAAACCCATCTATCAGTAATGCTGACAGATGCAAAAAACGATTATAACTCAATTACTATAAAATGATTGGAAGAATGATTTCTTGATTGATTGGTTCTTTGTAAAATCCAGCTTCACAGACAAAAATCAACAAAATCTATTTCAAGGATATTTTTACATACAAGTTCAAGTATTGTTGGTTCTTTCTGCAATGTTTTATAGCCATTTAAAATAATCCAAAAGGTAGAAAATATTTTATTTTCTAGTTTATCAAAACTGCAATGCTTTTATGGCTTGTGAATAAAGTTTCAACTTCACAGTTTGTATTATGCTCTTCCATAATAGATGGACATTTTATTAGTCACTTTTTCTAGCAAACTTTGATAGGTCTTCTTAAATGCTTTTTCCATTCTGAAAGTTATTTATGCTCACTTTTGAGATCTAAGGATCAGAACTGTGCATATAATGTCGAGCAAAACCTGGTATAATATGTGAGAGACATTTGTAGCCAAATCTAATTTTGAGATAATTTATATGTATATAGAACAGTTTTGTAGTACCATTTACAGTCATTTCTCTCTTTAAAGAAAGTGTTGACATAACACTGTAAAATTAAAAAAAAAAATTGAAAAGAAATGTATACATGTATAAAAAAATTTTTCGACCTGAACTTACCCATATATTTAAAGTTGTAGATATGTGTAATCATAGTACACACAATACATTTTTTATTCTTTTTGTTGTTGTTGTAGTTGAGGAAGAGTCACCCTGAGCTAACATCTGTTGCCAATATTTGTCTGTTTTTTTGCTTGAGGAAGATTAGCCCTAAACTAACATGTGTGCCAATCTTCCTTCACTTTGTATGTGGGATGCCTCCACAGCTTGGTTGATGAGTGGAGTAGGTTCCACTCAGCATCCAAACCTGTGAACCTGGGCCACCAAAGCTGAGTGCACGGAACTTTAACCACTTGGCCACGGGGCTGTCCACTATATTTTTTATCTCTATATTTTTCTCTCAATATAATGATGCACATCTTTTGATACTTGTCTGGCCTTCATCATTTTAGTTTTAAAAGTGAGTATCATTTCCCATATAGTGCTTGATCATTAGAATCACCTGAGATGAACATTAAACGTGTAGTTTCTTGGTAACTTCCCAGGGGGTTCTGATTCAGTAAATCTGAAACGGGACCAGGAATCTATATTTTATACATGTCCCATGTAGCTCGTGTTAGTGAGCTTTCTATGGGAAACAATTACTCTACTTGAAGAATATCTTTTAATTAGTCATTAATTGTTGTTGGGTAATCTTGCTGTATTGAGATATTTTCCTATTATTTAAAAAAAGTCACAATGATCATTATAGAGAAATTATCTTATTTTATAATTATTTCCTTAGGATAAATATCTATAATCTAAATGATTAGATTTAAATTTATGATCAGTTTAAGACTCTTGATACGTATTAAATATTTATTTTCCATAAACTCCTAGTTTAAACTGTTTTAAAATGATATATAATTATTCAGTTTCTCTGAAGCCTTATACCAATATTGAATATCATGTTTTGAAAAATTTGTCAAAGTTAAATTACGCCTCTACAACTCCATTTCTTTGATTACTTTCAGTAGTTGAAAAATTATCCATATGCCTCTTTTCTACGTGTCCTCTTTGAAGTTTTATTATTTTTATTTTTAGTTTGTGGTATTCACATTGTTATATACTTCATTGGTACATTTTAGCTTTCATATAATTTTAAAAATATGTATAAAATGATTGAAATAGGTAGGATGCTTTCAGTATCAAATAATAGATATTCACAAATGAAACTATCTTAAAAACTAAAGATGGGCTGGCCCAGTGGCGCAGCGGTTAAGTTCCTGTCCTCCACTTTGGTGGCCTGAGGTTTGCCGGTTTGGATCCTGGGTGTTGACATGGCACCGCTTGGCAAGCCATGCTGTCGTAGGCATCCCACATATAAAGTAGAGGAAGATGGGCACGGATGTTAGCTCAGGGCCAGCCTTCCTCAGTGACAAGAGGAGGATTGGCAGCAGATGTTAGCTCAGGGCTAATCTTCCTCGATAAAATAAAATAAAGAAATTATGTATCTCCCTAAAGACCTCAGAAGGGGCAAAGCTCCAGAAGTAAGGCAGCCTTTAGAAGTGTGAGGTCAGGTCTCTGGCTTGGCTTCTATGTGGTAATCCTGAGTCCTCTGTCCCTAGCATGTTGGCTTCCCTGTGGTAATCCTGAGTCCTCCCTCCCTAGCAGGTAGTTCAAGCTGGTTGCAGTTCTAGGTGTCACACCCAGAAACAGAAGCTTCCAGAAGGGGCCAACTCATTCAGTATGTATTTCTTGGGAGAGAACAAACCTTTGTGAGAAAATCATGATAGACTTCCTGTATGTCATTTGCCAGAATTAGATCACCTTATGCATCTCGATGAGGCACTTGTGAGACAGGGTTATCATGAGAGGTGAATCTAAATCGTATCTTCCTCTGAAGATGGGAATGGAATTATGCAATTTATAAGATTTAGGAAGTAAAAATAAGGAAGTAGGCAACAAATAATGTCTAATATAATAACCATTCATAAGTAAATTATCTATTCTTTCTTTTGGCTATTTCCAAGATATGATTTTGTATTTTTGCGGTTGCTATGAAAGTATGTCACTCAGATCTCCTATAGAATCTGCTGTGAGAGCACAGCTGACCAACAACCCCACAGGCACGCCTCTGGATCCTCTATCACTTTCCCTCAGGCTGTTCCAAGTCCCTTACTGAGGTAACAGTGCTGACAGTAATAGTGCTGTACCATTCCTGCGTAAGGCTGGAATTACTCCAGCAGGCACACTTTGCTCAGGGGCATCAATGACCTGTGTGGACAGAGATAACAAAATGCATTGACATACACTGGGGCTTCTAAGATGGAGCTGGGTGGCCATTAAGGAAGTGGGGCTTATGCACACACACCACGTCTCTACCCAGATGGAAAATAGCTGCATCACTGTTGTCATCATAACCTTCTTTCAAGAAATATGTTTATTCCCATAGATAAGCATTTTTTGCCTTAGAGATGGCCTTAACAACCAATCACAGATAGTGAAGAAGTAGCAGTTGTTGCCGGCACCAATCACAAATTTTCCAAACCAATCTCTGTAATTTATCTCTTTTTTTGCCTTTATATTCCCTTGCCTCCTTTGTCTTCCTCAGGACACATTTTGGGTTTCTACCTCAATCCGTGTCTCTCAAATTGCAATTCTAGTTGTTCAGATAAGTATCTGCTGTTTAAATTGTAGTGATTTATTTCCTCAGTGGACACTTGGCTGAAATATTTTCAGAACTTCACCAGAGTTGGTGAATTTCTTCCTACCCAATCCTTTCTTCCTCCTCTCCCTTCACAGGTACCTAACCTCCATTTGGGTCTGAAGGCTCTTCCTGCCTATTCCTGCCCCCTCCCCTTCCTTACTCTTCATAGGACTTTTCCCCGATAAGTTTCTTACACTTGTGATTCTGCCCCTCGGAGCACCAAGCTGATACGGTGTTTAATCATTTGATTCATCCGACAGTGTGATACATTGTGTAAGGTATTTCCATCTATACTGATAATTATTTATTTATTTAAATGTTGATTTTACTCACTTGTGCCTACTATGCCCCAAGCTCTGTGTTAGGCAACATGGATATAAAGATTAATAGAAAAAGTTTACTTCTCTGAAGTACTCAGGTTTAAAAGGAGATTCTGGCAGATAAATACATCATAGTAATACAAAATGAAAGGCATTCTAAAAGAGGTATAAACAGAATTTGAAAACTCAATGGAGGAAGATTCCAGAATTTTCCTGCCACCGGAAGTCAACATAGGCTCTCAGAAACACCTTTTAAAGTTTAATTCCCTGGTTGGAACATGGAAGGATGGGCTTTCACATTGCTTTAGTTAGGGCAATGCTAACAAGATAGATCCAAAAATGTGTAATAACTCAAACCAGGTAGACATTTACTTTTCAATTATGTAACTATTTCATTTTGGTGGCCCTGGTGGGTGGGGGCATTCATTTGGGAATTCATCTCTGGAGCTAAGGATGTGATCATTTGATTTGGGGAATTTAGTAAGTAAGGAAGATAGGGGGTGAATGGAAATTGGGTAGGTAACAAATAGTTCCAATGCTATAATTATTCATATGCAGTTAGGTAAATATCCTATTCCTTTTCAGATAGTTTGAAGATTTGAGTTTATATATTTGTGGTGGCTGTCAAAGTGTGCCACTTAGATATCCTTCAAGAGAGAACTTAATGTTTCCCGTCAGCTGGAAAGGAAAAAACAAGAAATATCATGTATATGACGGTTCATGGATGGACCTAGAAGTGGTGTGTCTCCTTTGCTCACATTCTACGCTCTGGAATCCAGTGACAGGGCATATCCAACCATATGGGAGGTTGGGAATTAGTATCTATGTGCCAGAGAAGAGGAGCACTTTCAGCAGTTCTATCATGCAGGTAAGAACAATGTGCACAATGGTACTGAGTTGCTAAAGTTCACGGGAGATTTGCAGAAGTAAGAATTTAATACAGTTGGGATGTAGGTTGCATTTGGAAAGTGAAAGATAATGAGAGTAAATAAGCTAACAGTTCTTCCAA